TTTAGTTTATTCTTTTTTTTTTTTATTCTTTTTTTTTTCTTCAAATTCTTGTCTCTTATTCTGTTGTTATGTGAACATGTCAACTGCTTGTTGAAGGTATAGATTGTTGTTTCGTTAGAATTTTTTCACGTGTGTACATGTTTTCCGGTCCATTATGTTGACTATTCGGTGTTAATTTGAATCACATTACTTGTTTTGAACCTTATACAATGTATGCTACATATATCTCACATATTTACAGAGGATAGATAGGATATAATTAATTAGAAAAAATTCGACCATACTAAAGGACACTACCTTCATCGATAGGGTCGAATTTGAATTTGCTTATAATTGGATACTATATAGGTGAAATTAAGTTAAAGGATATTGACAGCTGGAAGAGTGAAAATGTGTGTATAGAAACAAATAGAATCAAATAAAGAATCAAAGTTTGTGTGGTTTTGGTTATAGTACAAAAGAGGGAGGACCATTTGGAGGATGTTGATGTTCACATGGTGTGTTGCCTTCCCCGCACATGTATACATACACAAACACAATCCTCAAATAATTCTCTCATAACTAAAAGTCATTTCTAGAGGGAATGCAGATATTTTAGCTTCAATTTAGAGGAACTTATTTATATTTTATAACAAAGGAATTTTTGTATAAAATTAAAACCATACCTATAGGCTGATTTTTAGAGGATTTTATAGGGCAGAAACTATATTTTCATTTCATTTTTCTTTTGCACCCAAATTTTTAGAGTTTGAGTTTAGGTTTTTGGTTATTATACCTTTTTCAGAATTTTTATGTTTCCTATTTTAGTCTTGCAAGACTTTTTGCTTTTCTGCAGGTTTTCCTTTGGAAATTTCGTTTGTTCTGTTTAAGTTGGTAGGATTTTCCAAGAGTCTTTTATTTGTTTGCACTTATAAATTTGTTTTGAATTGAAGATATAATTTTAGGGGAACAACCAGGGGAAATGATACAGTGACTTGAAAATACGCATATTATAAAACCAAATTTAAATCAATTTTCTTTCCTTAAAAATGTCTTATCTATATGTGTTCTTGTGTAAATGAGATTTTATACATTTTTCAAAATATATCTGCCTAACGAGTACGGGAAAAGATTTTCTATTTCAAAATCATGTTCCAATTTATGTTTCATTTCGGATGATTGACACATGTATAATTGTGAAGTCATCATAGACACATGTCATTCATAAAACAGAATGAAACATAAACCGAATCATGATTTTGAAATAGAATATCTCATCCCAACGGGGAAGCAAACCTAACAACAGCATTTGTGATAATCGAGATTGGTGACTGACGTACTTTTTAATTTTTTTTTTTTTTAAGTTCTGATTTTCTTTTCTTCATAATCATAACTTTCATGGTAGGACAGGAAGAATGAATAGTGTCTTATGCAATTTCAGAGAATGAATAGTGTACTGCAACAAAGATAATTTTGAAGGATAGTCTCTGCAGCTTGTATGTTATGAAAATGGGAACTGATATTTAGCAATAAAAATAAAATAAAACTATGTCCATGTTCAGCATGATAACAAAACTGTAAACTTACATACACAAATAGGGACATATATAATGATAGAATACTGAATAACACTTGAACTTGTGCAGCAGACAACATACATTAAATGTATTATGGTGCAGGAGGGACCACCATAGCTAATGTGTGGCAGAGATAGCATTACGGATAAAAATCAATGAAGATGGAAGCACAAAGGTATTAAGTATTATATGGTGTGCATGGACCAGACAAGAGAATCAAGAACTTATTATTCTTCTTCTTCTTCTTTTTTTTTTTTTTTTTTCCCAACTCTCCGTTTCTAAAGCTCCAAAAACCGAGCAAGACGAGAGCATACTCACCATGATCGCTTTATCCAGCTCGACTTGAGAATTTTGCATGTCGTAAAATAAAGCGAGTGCCTTTTGGCGCAAGGCCAATATGGAGCTACAGACAATGAAATCTCTTTTGGGAATACTATCAAACACCTCTCGTGCAGTGTCCACAACACAGCATTCTGCATACATATCAACTAAAGAGCTCACCAAGCTAATGTATTTCATTAGTCCGCTCTCGAAAAGCGTGCTCGCGAATCCATCGTCCTATTTCCAACTCGCCGAGCGTCCCACAGGCAGTCGAGACAGTAACCAAAGTGGCCGGATTCCGACATTTGTTTAGGAGTCCCACGACCTCTTGCGGGTGGCTTGGACCTCAAATATCCCTAAAGCATTGAGCTCCATGTCACCGGACTTCCTACCGGCATCATTGCCACACTCTTTCAAATAAAAAAAAAAAAAAAAAAGAACATAGATGAATAGCAATCTTAAAGTATATAAGCCTGCTGGACCATTTTGAGCCGGAAGAATTGGTTAGGATTAGCATTAGAGCCAAATCAGTTTCTCAATTTTGCTGAAACACAGTTCTCTTTTTGTAGAGAAAATCAATTTCAAACATTTAAAACTCTGCAAGAACCAGTTTCATCAGAATTGACTCAAATTTGCAGCTGCATTGCCAGAAATAGCATGTTAAGGAATTTAGAAGCTTCCGAGATTTAGAAAAGTAGACCTTTTTTGAACTTCTTGGTATTACTGTATTCAAAAGTTATTGAGTGTAACTTTTAAGGACAATGCGTCTAATTTTGTTTCTTACACGATTCTCATTACATAAATTTATTCAGAAGATCAGATTAATGTTCCACCGATGAACTCAATGTCTTTTCATTTCAAGGAGTAAAACTTCTCAATGTAAGTAATTTGTCTGTCCAGTACAATACCATTTGGAGCACATTATTTTCCAACTGCAGTGCCCCGGCCTGCAACAAAAGCTTGGGGTCAGTAACTCTAAGTTTATATGCCATAAAATAAGGAACCGTCAATCAATGGAGCTTTTGCAGCAGTTACAACACTGTAAAAACACAAAAAATGCTAGCGTAGTTAAATCAAAGATAAAATCAAGATACCTGCAGCAAGCTTAAACATGGGTAATCTCTTACTTACAGCTGCAGTTAATCATTGAACATCATACGGATAAATGGAATGACCATGTTTAAAATGGTAATCATAAATTTAGTCTATTTTCAATATACCCGATTTCCTTTCCACTTCATATAGAGTTCCATCACGAATTTCTCCATTGCCAAGATCTTTAATGAGAAACTATAATAAGCTCACATCAAGTTATTTAAAAGAGTGATAATCGTTTGATTCCATCACAGCGAGGTACTCGATATATTAAACAAAAAAAATGTTTGGGCCATTCTTCTATGTAGAAACTACAGTAATTTCTTTTCAGTTCAATGCACAAAGGCCTGATGTATATCCATTAAAGAAAATAAAATGAAAGAAAAAGAAAAAAACAGATACATAAGCTGATAAGCATATCNTCTGGGCTATCATCATTCAGAAATTTTCCAAAGATACTGGTGGCAACCCTCTGAGTGTAACAAAGTTTTAGAAAAAAGAAAAAAAAAAACTAGCAAATAGAAAAAAATTGAGTTTCTAATTTGTTGCAGCTCTACTATGGAGGCAAACAACCTCTCTGAATATTCACACAGTAATTCACATATTGTTTATACATGACTAGAAACTTAACCAAGAACTTCAAGGTTATCTGAGCATTATTGATATAATATAGATACATGCCAATTCCAATTTCCATGAACCAATCCCACTCCACACCCAATACCCGATTCTATGCACTTTGCCACCACTTTCCTCGACTAGATACAGGAAAAATAAGCTAATGCAATACTGTGTTGATGATTATTTCTCCTTAAAACTATGTAATCAGTTTTGCTAGCATGATTTCTTTGTTGATGATTATTTCTCCATAAAATTAGCTACTGCAATACTGTTAGTCTGTAACAATCAGTATCTCATTCTTTGGAAGATAATGCTCGTGATACACCACTAACAGTAAATAATTAAACTCCAACTATTTATAGAGCTCGACCTTTTTAAAGACTTGGAGTGATTTATTCAATTCATTTTGCCACCTACATTGTCTGAACAAACCCACTCATACTAAAATGCTAATTTGAAAATCCACCTTACTCATCATCTATAGGACCCATTTAACTTGTCATAAACAAAGCTTACTGACCACTGAGCCAAGCTCAATATGAACAGCAGTAATCTAACACAACATATTGGTCAAAGGAGAAGGAAAATGAAAACAATCAGTTCCTAATAGATGAAAACCAGTCACATCTACAACAACAAAGCCGCAACATAAAAGAGCAACAAGTAGATTGATTTCAGTAAATTTGGTACAATAAAGCAACAAAACACAAAGAAAATAGGCCGGACTTGAAATAGGTTGCAGTAATAAAAAGACACCTAAATTCGAAGTGCGGCCGACGCCGACGCACAGCCAAAGCCGACGCCTGTAAACACCTGACCGACTTTCAGAGAAACGGATTCTCCATAGCATTCGCTCATTTTCTTCAGTATCGTTCTTATGGATGACTGCCTTTGGTCGAAATTCTTTCTTGAATGTGCTCTGCAACTCACTATTCGAGCCTTGAACAGAACAATTTCGTGCGCTTTGTTGTGATTTGTGAACTCTTCGTTTTTATGCGAAAAAATCATCGTGTAATTTTGCACACCACCCTATGAACTTGATTTAAGACTACTGCAAAAAATCACCAGGTGTTACTAATTTATTTTTCAATATATCGTCATAAACTCTTATACATGGATGACATTTCATATTGATAATTATTTATTATATAAGCATGATACTCATCAATTTATTTTATACTAGTATTCGACCTGTGCATTTGCACAGATATAAATAAATTATTGTGAGTCTGTATGCATATAATGATTAATTATTTTTCTTTCACTTTTTTGCAGACCAAATTTACAATTAAAAGAGTTGGAATATTTTTTTTTAAATTGCGTTTATCTAATTGGATGCAATGTATATTTTGGTACGTCTTTTATTTGTGAATTATTTATTATTTATTTACGAATTTTAAATATATTTTTTATTTAAAAAGAAAATTAAATGTAACAACAATAATAACATCTAATCACATTATACGGTCAACACATTATATAGTCAACTGTCATTAATAAAAAATTTAAAATAATTTTTGTAATTTTGAAGTGATGAGTATAAATTATTTAATGATTAAATGAAAGATTAAATACATCAAAATGTAACGGTTTTTGGAGGGAAAATTGTTAAATTGCCACGTAGGTAAAATTAAATAGGTTTTATTAAATGTTTTGAGCTAGTAATTATATATATATAAATTTAATTTAATTTTTTATTATTTTTATATCAATGAATTATTAAATTGGTCAATATATATATAAATAACTTCTTGATGCATAGGAGATATTAATTTGATTCAAATTATTATTCTTTTAACATCATTCATATGTGAATTAATATTACAATCATTATTTGAGATATGTGTTAAAAATCTTATATCTTTCAAAACCATAACATTATAAGGAAATTAAGAAATATGTTTTAAAAATCATCATCATTATCTTTCAAGCCATAATATTGTAAGAAAATTAATAGACATATGTTAAAAATCATTTATCTCTAACGTGGTTTTCCTAACTCCATCTAGCTTTTCAGGGCTCTTTTTCACAACAGCCCCAACTTAAAATAAATAAATAATGTATACTATTTTTTGTAATTTGATTAAATATAAGTTGGTTGTTAAACCAAAAAAATTAATAAATTTATTTTGTTTGAATTGGTCAATTTTAGGAAAATAAAGAAAATGCACTCCCCAAGTCCCTAGATATTTGCCATTAAACCATTCATTCATGCATGGAATTAGTTTCAACTTTCAAGCTTTTTCCTTTGCTGTGCATAAGATGTAATCTTTTTAAATCAAACATCCTTGCGTGAGCTGATATATGTCGAACCGAAACGTGAAGCTTATGCGCACGATGAGATCATAGATTAGAATTTTTTGTTATTTTTTCGGTATAAAAATTACACGGGAATCCTACGAACTGATATGTATTTTTTTTTTCTTTTTTTTTTTCAGTTCTTACAAATAATCTAAAAATATAAAATTACAATGGAACTGAAAAATAAATTACAAATGAAAAAATTAGAAAGATCTTAGCCGAGGCGAGTAAACTCTTTCCGCAAGAAGAATACGCCCCGTGTGGCAGCTAACGGTTCCGGCGTAACTTCCCCAAAGATACAACGGCAAACGTCTCTAAATCTGTAGCACACCAGATTTATGAGCTCCGACGAACTGGATCGAAGTCGAGAATTGAACACTTAAAAATAAAAATAAAATTATCTATATGATAATTTTTCTATATATATATATATTTTTTTTCTCACTATATTTTTTTTTTTCTTTCTTTCCTCACTTTCCTTTCTTTCTTCTTTTCCCTTCACTTCTCTTCTTTCCTTCTCTTATTTGGTGCATTTTTTCCCTTCATCTCATCGCCATATTTATAGATGAAGATTTTGAATGATGGTTGAGAAATAATCCAACTGGTTTGGAATTGTTTGGAAAATTTGTATTTTGGTTGGAAAATGTAAGAAATGGTTTGGGAAGTTGAGAAAAGAAAACAAAATCTTACACTCATTTGACTAACATTTTTTGAAGTGATGCATTATAGGAATTCACTCCAATACAGATACTTTCTTCGTTTACATATACTATGTTGCTTAAAAGAGAAAGAAAGGTGTATATCTGAACTAGGAATCTGGTTAGAACATAATAATATTCATGATGATGTATGTCTGATTTATTTATCTAATCTATAGCAAATCAAATTGATCTGAGGTTAAAGACTGGTCCCATGAAAAGCTTTCAGCAACTCTGTTGTTCGGACATCAATCATCATCTACACCTTCACTCGTGCAGCAATGACGTATCAACTGTCAATGCAAATACATAAATGTTGATTAGGAGCTATACATCCAACTTTCCTCAATATTACAAATATAATTAAATAATAAGTATTAATCATCTCTACACAATATCAAATCAATTTTAATTCACTGTACATCCACTCATATAATTTTAACAGTTCATCCCTTACAATCACTCTTTTCATACTTTTACATCGCACCAATTTTAATCATTATACTTTAAATGTTATTTAAATACAAACTCAGAGCATGCTTGTTTATGAAAAATTTTTGTTTTATTTAGATTTTTTTGTTTGGTTTGGTTAATTTTAAAAAATGTGGTATGGTTAGGTGTTAGTGGGTATATTAAAATAATATTTAAAATAAAATAATTAAAATTGATTTGATGTAAAAGTATGAGAGAGATGATTTGAAGTGATAGTTAGTTAAAATAATGTGGGTGGATGAATAGTGAATTAAGGTTGATGTGGTGTGTATGATTGATTGATTATATTATTTAATTATATTGATAATATTGATGATAGTGTGGTTGAGTTAAAGTTGAGTTAAAAAATGTGGCTGAGTTACAATGTTTGAAATTTTTTGAAACAATCTTATAAAACAAACCAAAATTAAACATGCTCTCAAATCTCACTCAAACCAAAATTAATCATTTTCAAAAAAAAATTAATTCACGTTATCCAATAAATCCAATCGAATTCAAAGTAACTTATATCCAATCTGGCTCTTAAATTGCTAAGATAGTGCTTGGATATAAGTTGTAATTGGATTTTCCCAATCACAAATCAAATTAACTCAACCACAACTCTCTTCTATATTGCCAGTATAATTAAATAATATCAACCGATCATCGTCACAGATCACATAATTTTCACTACTCATCACTTGCTATCACATATTTCCTACATTTACGTCAAATCAACTTTAATCATTTTATTTTAAATATTATTTTACTATAAACTCAAAATCTTACTCAAACTTAACTCAACTNCAACACAACTATATCCAAGTACAACCTAATATCCAACTACTCTATTTTTGCTTACCACAATGACATTCATATAGTATAATAGAAAATACAAGATTAAGGACCTTTGACTTTTAACAGATTGAAAAGAGGTTGAAGAGCAACTTGAGACAAGTAAATGACATACACCACCATTTTCAACTGACAAAACCTCCGAATAGCTGTCTATAAACAGGGAAGACAAATTGATAATGAAATAATGAAATCACCTGGTTCAGAGCAAAACCACAAGACGGCGGCACAGAGGATAAGCAAAAGTGGGATGAAGTGAACAGCGGCCTCGGCAGATCTGACGCGATTCTTGTCCTTTTTGGACAGCTCAGATTCCGAGTCATTTCTCGGAATCTGTTGTTTTTGCTGCTGCTGCTCCAAATCACTGTCTGGCGTTTTTACTGTGCCTGACAGCAACTCGTCAAAAACTCGACTCGAGCTCGATGTCCGGTACATTATATTGTCGGCCAAATATAGTAAGATATTCCGATCAAAGATGAAACCAAGAAATTAAGGAGAATTGCTTTGAAAAAAAGAGCAAAGAAGATTAGCGTTTTATGAGTTCCTTTGCGGCGGTGGGGTTTGGCGGCCGGCACGATCTGCTTGTGTTTATTATGATAGTTATTATTAATTTATTATTGTTATTATTGTTATTACAAACAATAATTAATAATTGTTGTTATTGGTCAACTTCTAGCTTGTGTCATAAAACCAGAAATTAGGCCAAACCTCGAGATAGCATTGACTAGTTTACGTGACTTCCGTTAAGGCAGCATCTTTCAATTTTTTTAGATTACTTTGGAGGCTAAAGTATTAATTGTCATGTTGATGAGTTATTAATTGTTCACGTTTGAGCTAATTGTAACGTGAACCTCGTTCATATTATAATAACATAAGAATTTATTGGCCTATACAAACGCCGACCTCTTAAAAATTACTAACAAAAAGAAAAGAAAGAAAAGCTCAATTTTTATTTTTGGTTGCAATTTGCCTCTCAGTTGGTTTTTCGTCCAACGATATGTTTGGCAAAAAATTTATGTAATATATTTAAGTTGGTGTACCTTCGACATATTATTTTAATAAATATATATTTTTTAGTTAAAAATATTGTATTTTAAAAAATAATATAAACAGAAGTACAACATTGATAATATAAGCATACAGTTTTGTTTGTCGAGTATGATAGGGTCATCAGGCCTAACATTAGCCATCTCACATAAGATTTTTATGCACAAAACGTTTGTATATAAGTTTCTGTTATGTCGACTTAATACCATCAATATACTTTTTTTTACAAATATATATTTTTATTAAAAAAATAAACAAAGATTAGATTAGTTCATAAAAAATATATTTATGAAAAATTATAACAAATGACAATAAACTAAGAGCTCGTTTGTTTGCTGGGATATGACAAGATTACCCACTCAATCTTGCATTTATCTGGTGTATTTTTCCCTAGATTCCAGCCCCCAATTATATCCGAAGCCTGCTTTGTACATTGGATTTATCTCCGAAAAACGCGACTAATTGATCTTGCCTTGGGGGTAAGATTCATTTTGTCTGCACAGTATCTTTTATTGAATTTTACTATTATGACCAATTTAACCTCATTTAGTACGAAAATTACAAAATGACCATTATGAAAGAGAAAAATATCGATTATTGTTTCTTCTTGCACCGTCGTCGCAAATCTGTTTGACCACTGTCGTTCCCCCTACATCCGCCGGCAATTGAGCCAGCGGCCACCTCTATCTCAAGATTCCCTCATCGTGCTTCTTCTTTTGCCCCTGCTGATACCGGCACTACGGCTTCTTATACGATGCCGTTGCAGTCTGGTACGATCAGGGGCGGACGCAAACATTTAAAAGTCAGGGGCAAACTTGACTTGTAGGGGACAAGAAAAGTTTTTTTTATGATTTTTTTATGACTATTATTACATTTGTTGCGGACAACTTTAACATAATTAAAAAAGTATATTTATAGATACATACATACATATATATATATATATATATATATATTAAACGTTTCATCAGTGTGAAGTTGTCCAAAAATATGTGAAATGCAAAGGTGTCTGTTTGTCTAGCATTGGAGCTGACCAACCACCTGAAGTGGTATAATTTTCTATTTTCTGTAGAACTCCAGAATCTTTTTTTATGGTTGAACTCTAGATTATTTGCACGATACTAATAGTGAATGGGGAAAATGAAAAGCCAAATATTTTCGCATTAATTGTTTAATGTGGAAAATGAAAAGCCAAACATTTTCGCATTAATTGTTTAATTCTAATATGGGTCCTGCCAACCACAGGGGCACGTGACCCTACGGGCCTCTATGTGGGTCCGCCCCTGGGTACAATTGTCATCTCTATCTTTTTTAACCTTGTTTATTGTTTTTCTGTTCGCTCTTTTTGGGAATTGTTCGTGGTTTATTTTCATCTCCCTTGCGAAATCTGTGGCTTATGTGTGATTGTACATGACTGACGCTTTTTGGGTGAAACGAATCGGTAAATTCCATCTTTTTACGAAAAGTTTTTTATTTACAATCGAGTTTTTTAGTACCTGCTGATTTTCGATCTATACAATTGTTCTAGTTCGTTTAAGATCGGTTTTTATTACGAGGGAATTTTACAGTTCAATGCGAAAGCATTTGCCTCTAAATCTTGTATGGCTGATCTTGGAGGCTCAGAGTTACATTCTCAAGTTATCTTATTTATTGAATAGGATAATCTCCCGTATTTCGCATTACATGGAAGAGATTCATCAATGCTTCTTGTATATGTTCATGGATTTCTTGAGAAAAGTTGTTGTTTTTGTAGTTCATTGATTGAGTTAGAAAGGCAAATGCTCATCCCCTATAATAAAATTTGTGTTAGATTGTGAGATTTTATTACGAAAGTTGATCTTTGGTATAATTTGCAACCTATGGACTCTCATTTTTGTTCAAACTCTAATCTTTCGAATGATGGTTTCAAATAGCATGGCAACTCCAGTGGAACCTCCGAATGGGATCCGATCCCAAAGAAAGCATTGCTACTCCATGTGACAGACGCTTTTCAAAATTGACCTGAAATATGTGCTGATCAAGCCCACCGGATGTGGGGCCTATGGGATAGTGTGCCCGTTGGTCAAAAGAGAGACCAGTGAGAAGGTTGCGATCAAGAAGATTCACAATGCCTTCGAAAATAGAGTTGATGCATTGAGAACCCTATGCGAGTTGAAGCTTCTCAGTTATCAAGCACCTTCAGCACGAGAATGTTATAGCTCTTAAAGATGTGATGCTGCCTAATCACAAGGGGAGTTTCATGGATGTGTACTTGGTTTATAAGCTTATGGATACCGACTTGCACCAGATCATTAAGTCGTCTCAGACACTCACGAATGACTATTGCCAGTATTTCCTATTCCAGGTAACAATTATGATGGCATAATGTTTGTATGTGGATTATATTTTAGTTTCCAAAGTAATGAAATATTGATTGATGTGGTTATTGTCAATAGGCTGATCTTGACAGTTTTCTATGGAGCCATCGGATGGCTCGGCTTATGGAGCCATCCAAACTTATTCACCAATAGTGTATTGACACGTGTCCTACAATAGATACACTTTAGATATGTGTCAATATATTGAGTGGTGGATGGCTCCATAAGAAAACCATCCGATAACTCCATAGAATTTTTGGTGATCTTGATTATTTATTTGTGATATGGGATAATTTGTGCAAAAAAATGACTTGGGCCATTGAATGAGCTTTTGGCCCTGCTACTTATTGAAATTTTGTAATTTGGATATATTTTCAATATATGAAGAAAATTATAAAAGCAAATAAAATGTTGTAAGGATTTTTAGCAGCTGTAAATTAATAGTGATAAATCTGTATATATCAAGTAGGATTTGCGATGTGGAGCAAGGGTATAATGCCTCGGAGTGCCCTTTTGTGGAGCAGGGTTTAACTGCTTGATAAGCGGCCGTGAGGAAGAGGATTATCTGAAATGGAGGTGGAAGCCCAAAAACTATGAAATCCCAAGAGTTAAAGTGCGGCGTGTTCTGGAAGCACTGCGGAATACGAGAGTCGTTTTTGTTGGCAACTTTATGAGTCAGTGCTGAATACGAGAGTCGTTTTTGTTGGCAACTTTATGAGTCGGACTCAGTGGGAGTATTTGATATGTCTGTTGATCACGTTAATGGCGAGGGTTGTAAGGATTTTGGGGTGGTTGTTGTTTCTCCCATGTTTCTTGAGAATTCTTAGGGGAGATGATTAAGAATTAATATTTGATTCGTTTGGTTTAATGTATTTTTCTGCTTTATGTTTTTCTGTTTAATGTATTTTTCTTGTTTTAATTAGTTTTCTCCCATGTATATCATTTGATTTGGGTTTGCTATATTATTCAGATATTAATTTGCTGAAATGGGGAAAAACAAAAAATGCTCGATATGTAAACCAGCCTGAAAAGGATCTACGTACAGTATATTAAACAACAATAATTAGGTTAAAAAAAGAGTCATTTTTGTATTTGTATAAAAAATAAAAAAATTATACAAAAAAAATAAAAACGAGAAGTTGTTTGTTGTGGGAATATTAGAGCCATGCAAAATACATGAAGTTCTCGAACATGTAATGGCTAAAAAAACTAAAGATAATGTAGTTTAAAATAAATAAAATAGAGGATAAAAAAATAATGTAGTTTAAAATGAAGATCATATTTGTAAATCTTCATATAATCATATTCTTTATCTAGGAAAACAAATACTCCTACATAATAGAAATTATGATGATTAAAATAATGTAGTTAAATGGGCATATTTGTACATGTACATCCAATCCTATTCTTTATCTAGAAAAACAAACACATAAAATAGATTAAATGATAGTCTTATCTTGAGTTAATCAAACATAACAAACATAAATGTATTCTTATCTCTACACCCCAAACTTAGGTCTCTAGATAAAAATTATATAATCCGGTTTCTCCTAACAAACGTGCCCTAAGGGTATAAATGTCATCACAATGTACCGAGTATTACGCCACGCGGCCAGCACTTTTTGGCGTTGTCATGTCACCTCTTCATTTTCCAAACTACTCTCCATCTCCAGACGCTTCAATTCTCTTTCTCTCTCTCAAATTCCCTCTTTTTCATCTGGTCGATTTTTTCATACGTTGATTTCTCAGCCTTCGAGCCTGCGTCGTGCAGAAATTTGCAGATTCTGAGCCTGCCATGAATCCAGAATAGTACGCATTTTTTCATTTATACGTCTTTTAGAAGATTTCATAATCTCAGGTCGTCGGTTTTCGTTGCAGATGACGCAACTGGTTTCAATCGGTCATTTCCGATTGGGAAATTTGATTATTTTTCGTTTTGTATTGATTGTGGCTTGTTTGATCTCTCTGAATCCGTTATGTGATTGGAAATCAGTTTACTCTAGGATCGTATGATTTTTATGTTTAAATCGGTTGTCAGTGATCGAAGAACCCAGCTGAGAAAAATCAGGGGCCATGTGCTGCATTTGTTTTTTTTATTTTTTGTTTGCGATTGTATGTTATAATTTGGCAAAAATGAGTTTACTGAGGAATTATAGTATGGGGGAAATATGCCTTTTAATTTGTTTCGGGCTTTTGGGGAATTTGGTATTACTTTTTTTTTTTAACTCTAATTTATTTTTGCAATGGTTATATTCAGTTTCCTTGTGTACTTTATCTTGATATTCTTTCCTACGTGAAAGGCATGAAACAGAATGCAGCTCTAACGGTCTATTTAGTAATTTTGCACTTCAGTTGTGTTTGATCAAACGGTTTCATGACATAAACCTAAACCTGCTTGTCTTGGCATGGAGGATTTAGCAATCTTGCATTCACAACATCTGAGTGTTTTTGTTTAAACAATTGAAATAATTGTTGGGTTGCTGTATGTTTCGGTGCTGTTAAAAGTATATGAAATGGGATTCTGATGTTTTGGTTATTTGCTTCTTTCCAAATGATACCGGAAGGGGTCTTAGGTTTTCTTCCTTTTGGTCTAGGCTAAATGATCTTCATTTTTTTAAGAATATCATACAACTTAACTTCGCTTTTGATTTGTGTGTGTGCGTGNTATTACAGCGACTACCTTTTTAAGCTTTTGCTTATTGGAGATTCTGGCGTTGGCAAATCATGTCTTCTTCTGAGATTTGCTGTAAGTTTCTTATCAGATGAGTGTTTTACTTTTACAAACTTTAAATGGTTATATATGATCTTTTCAGCTGATAAGGATTCTAACTGGGACCTGAATAGCGCACATTAACATACTTTTTATTTGGTAGATTTTACAGTGTTTGAAGTTGAATTCTGTGAGAATTTATTATTCTCCTAACAGACAAAATATGGATAATTATAAGCTAAGAGCTCATTTGGAAAACTTGTGTGCGAAAAGCCAATATCATGGTTATCCAAGATTCATCGGTTCTGTGTCCCTTCTTTTCCTATGTACTAGTTTTTCTGTTTGACATCTCTTATAAGTCAGGATAACTTTATTTTATTTCTTTTAATTACTGCATACTGAGCCTAATTTGACCTTAATGAGGTACTGAGGTGAATATTGTAAGAAGATGTCACTTATTGAGAACTATATGCCCAAATTTTGAAGTGATAATTGATGGGAAAACGATATCACCTGTTGTGGTAAGGTCCATTCGCCTTTAATGGATTAAACTAACCGACACATCTTTTTACGTGGGCCGGTCTCAATTTATGCAAAGGTCTGGATTGAAAGGAAATATTTCCTACCAATTCCTATACCATCCTCAATGCCAAATGATTCACATTGAGAGTGAGAGAGGCCCCTTTGAGATTTGTATTTTTATAAAAACCCCAAACAATCAGGGTGCTAATCATGTAAGTGTGTGTTTTGTAATTTTGAAAGATGATCAAGTAATTGGATATACCTTGATTGTTGAATAGGTTTACGTAAAATTATGAATGTTTTTCAATACACACTCTTGACATGTGGACGAATATTCTCAGAATCTGTTTGCATCTTTAACATNTAATAAGTGTTTTCTCTGCATGGAGGTATCACGTTGGCTTCTTTAACATCATTTTCTTATCTTTTCTTTTTTCAGGATGATTCTTATATTGATAGTTACATTAGTACCATTGGTGTGGACTTTGTAAGTTATCTCTATTCCGGACCCCTTTAATAACCTAACTATTGTGTAATTATAATTCTCATTATGATATGTCCCGCATTCGATGATACAGAAGATCCGCACTGTGGAGCAGGATGGGAAAACAATTAAGCTACAAATAGTAAGTAATTGCTATTCCCTACATCTGGCTGTTTTGACTTGATGCTTTAAGCTTATTTTCCAAGATCTTTTACTTTGTTCGCATGAGATATTTGATAATTTATAGAGAACTGATCATTTATGGATTTGGGTATGTGAAGTGGGACACTGCTGGACAAGAACGCTTTAGGACAATTACCAGCAGCTACTACCGTGGGGCCCACGGCATCATTGTAAGTATTTGTCCGTTTTTCACTCCAGTGTAGATCCAAGTAAATTTTGCCTTATTTCTGTTGCATTTATTACCAGGTGGTTTACGATGTGACTGATCAAGAGAGTTTTAACAATGTGAAGCAATGGTTGAACGAAATTGACCGATATGCAAGTGACAATGTTAACAAGCTTCTTGTTGGAAATAAGTGTGATCTCACAGCACAGAAGGTTGTTTCAACCGAGACAGCCAAGGTAAGAGTGCCTCAGATTTCTTGTCTGGACAAACAAGTTATCCTCCTGTTTGGATAAGACCTTTAGTATGAAACCTTTCTATGAAAAGCTTATATAAAAAAGCTTTTGATAGAAACATATCATGAATTCGATTGTTTAATTTTAGGCACTTGCGGATGAAATCGGGATACCTTTTCTGGAAACTAGTGCGAAAAATGCCACTAATGTTGAGCAGGCATTCATGGCCATGTCTTCAGAGATCAAGAACAGGTAAAATATTATCATAGCATGGAGGAGGAAATATCTACTTAATCAAAATATCTATGTACTTCAAAATTTTAAAATGCAGGTATAAAGAAAATAATTAAGCACTTGAATAATGAACTTGCTACTCACAAATGCAGGGGATTTTTTGTCAAACTGAATTTTTTTACGAAACCTTCGATAAGTTTAGGCCTGCTTTGTTGGTGCTGCGTATTAGCAATTTATTTGTGGTATATATATATATTTTGCTTTATCTTAAAGTGATATTGGATGCTTGCAGGATGGCGAGTCAGCCCGGAATGAATAATGCCCGACCGCCAACTGTGCAGATCAGAGGACAGCCCGTTAATCAAAATTCCGGCTGCTGCTCTAGCTGAGTCTGAAGCTGCTGTTTGGCCCTATTTTGCTCTTCCTCATGCAAGTAGAGCTATAACCACTTCATGATCGGCTATGTTAATCGTTCATTCTCGTTAATTTGTTTGGATTTGACTGGTGACAAAACATCTGTACAAAGTAAGGACACCATTGGTGGAAATCGGTGTTGTCATTTTCCTTTCCTGTTTCTGGGACACGACACGCATCGATTTCGCATGGTTCTATTCTTATATTTTTTGTGAAAATGAATTTTATGTTTTATTGAGATCAACGATCGAATTTCAGGTGAAGCTATGAACCAGAAGGAAGAAAGAGAAAACAATACAGCGGCTTTATTTCTGAGAATGTGGAAATGTGAAAAGTGAGATGAAGAGTTAGGTTTGAGTATATATATAGTACAAGATGTCCTATAGTTGCTATTGTGTAAGTAGCAACTTTACATTATGTCTACTACTAAAATAAACAATACTATTACAACTTAAAAGGAGAAACAATAATAAAACTAATCTATTACAATATTACCCCCGCAAGATTAACATTGTTAATCTTGGAAACTAAATGTAGAAATGCTGTCTTGGATAAAGGCTTTGTGAACAAATTTGCTATTTGATGTTTGCTGGGAATAAACTGAAGTTTGATGATGCCTTGACTGATTTTCTCCAGGATGAGATGACAATCAATTTGTATGTGCTTAGTCCTTTCATGAAACACAGGGTTAGTAGCAATAGTCATGGCTGATTGGCTATCTGAAAATAAAGTGACTGGACAACAATTGGGCAAATTAAAATCTGTAGCCAAAGGGTTAATTGCAGGAAAAACTATAACCTTTTGGTTAATTGCAAATAAATTTTATCTTTTTTAATTTGGCAAAAAAATACCCAATCTTTAATAAGTATTGCAAATTTGTCTCGAAAACATATTTCGGCCATCCTGCTGACATGGCTGATCGAAAAAATGACGTGGCATCCACGTTAGTGTACACGTAGGACGCCATGTCACTTAGATGCCACATCATTTTTATTTATTAAACATAAAATTAGGGGAAAAAAATCCCTATTTTAAATCATTTGCAGAATGATTTAAAATAGGTTTGATTGCAGTTTCGGTAGTAGGTTCTTGGCTTGGATTGGTCTTGTGTAGATCGTTCTCTGCTGATTTGGGCTCGTTGGTTGGCTGGGGAAGGGCTCTCTCTATTGATTTATTAGTTTTTGTTTTAGTTTTGGTATGTTTTCAGTCTGTGTTTGTATTTTTTGGTCTTGTTTTTTAGGTTTGGGCCGTTGGCCCGGTTCTGATTCCCCTGTGGGGGGCGTTTCATATTCTCCTGTGGGGAGCGTTCGTAGTTGGTGTGTTGGTGTCTTTTAGTTGTGTGTTGTGTGTTTTCTTTTCTAGCATGGCTAGCGAGGCTCTAGGCGGTTTCGATCCGTCCTCCCAGTTTTTAGTTCTTGGTTGTAATATTCAGCCTTGGGCTGCTTTCTTGCACAGTTGTGCGTTTTGATATATAATATGCCTATCGTTTCGTCAAAAAAAGAAAAAAGAATCATTTGCAGAACAAAAAAAAAACGCATCTTTTTTCTCACGATGTTCGGATGCCTCAAATTCCCGATCAAATCCATACACCGCTCGAATTCTTGCAGAGCAATCGGTGGAATTGGAGGATGAAGATCAATTGGTGGAATTAAGGCAGAGAGCTTCATTGCCGGAAAAGCTGGTCATGCCAAATATTGTGAGTAGGGATTTGGGAGTGAATCTAGGGATTTGGGGATCTGGCCAGTGATTTGGTTGTCAGAGCTCGTCGGGGCTCGCGAAGGTCGTTTCAGCCGCGAGTTAAGGGCTACCCTCACGTTCGAGGCCCGGTTTGCTACTCTCGCCGGAAAATATGGTGGCTCACGTTTCGATAACGAATGGCTGCCCTTGGTTGCTCTTCTGCCAGGTCGCTCGTCACCCTCGCAAGATATCGCCTCGTCGTGAATGACTCGGTCCTCAGAAGTTGGTTCCTGCCGCGGCTACCTTTCCCCTATCGCGCGTTCATCTCGCCGTCGGGAGTCTGGACTTGTTGCGACTGGAAATTAGGGCTCGAACTCGCCGGACATTACTGAAACGCCGGGATTTCTCGTCGTCGTGTCGGCTGTTGGCGGTGGATCGAGGACAGAGGCGGGAGGAGGGCCATTTTGCGAGTGAAATGGAGAGAGGTTTCGAGGCGATTGGAGAGATTTTTGAAGAGATTTCTCTGATCCGATTTTCCTGCTCTAATCGTTGATTATGCCGTATGAGATGGAGTTTGGAGAGAAAAGCTTAGAGTTTGAAGAAAATTTTCAGATCCGATCTTGTTGTGAGGAGAGAGATTTTTCTCTTCTTTCTTTGCGCGATGACGAGAGAGATATGTGGCATCTAAGTGACATGGCGTCCTACGTGACATGGATGCCACGTCATTTTACGATCAGCCATATCAGCAGAATTGGCCGGAATATGTTTTCGAGACAAATTTGCAATACTTATTAAAGGTTGGGTATTTTCTTGCCAAATTAAAAAAGATGAGTTTTATTTGCTATTAGCCAAAAGGTTATGTTTTTTCTTGCAATTATCCCTTAGAAAAATATAAAAGCCATTGAATTTCACAAGAGGAAGCAGCCAAAGCTCTATATTCAGCCTCAGCAGAGGATCTGCTTTTAGTGCTTTGCCTTTTGGATTTCTAGGAAATTTGAGTTACCAAAAAAAATAGAATAACCAATCACACTTTTCTTAGTGTCTAAATAACTTGCCCAATCACACAAAAAGCTCTGGGGAAGAATGTACCTTGACCAACTGTACCTTTTATATACCTCAAGATCCTGTGGGCAACAGCTAAGTGCACAGTGGTTGGTTTTGATAAGAATTGACTAAGAGATTGCACACTATAACATAAATCTGGTCTGGATATAGTAAGGTATAATAGTATGCCTATTAACCTTCTATATTCAGTAATGTCAGTGTGGGCAGAAGATTCAGTAGCACAACAAAGTTTTATATTTGAATCCATTGGAGTTGAAGCAGGTTTGCTGGCTAAGAAACCAATATCAGTTAAAAGATCAAAAACATATTTTCTTTGGCACATACTGATCCCTTTGTCTAAATGAGCAAATTCTAAGCCTAGTATGTACTTCAGTTTGCCAAGATCTTTAATGGTAAAGCATTTATCAAGATGCACTTTAATGGCATTGATTTCAGAAATATTGTCCCCAGCAACTATAACATCATCCACATAAACAAGGAGTGAAGTAAATGATGAGTTTGCAGATTTAGACATAGTAAACAATGAAGAGTCAGAAACTGATTGTGTAAATCCATAAGACGCCAAACAATTTGTTAACTTTTGAAACCATTGTCTAGAAGTCTGTTTTAAACCATATAGGCTTTTTTTTAATCGACAAACTCTATGATCAGATGGTGTACAGTAACTAGGGGGTGGTTTCATAAAAACTTCCTCATCTAACCATGTAAGAAGGCATTATTTGCATCTAATTGATGTATACGCCACCTTTTAAGTGAAGCAAGAGCAATAAGAAATCTAACAGTGGTGATTTTAGCTACAGGGGAGAAGGTTTCAAAATAGTCTATTCCTTCTTCTTGAGTGTAACCCTTAGCTACTAGTCTAGCTTTATACCTCTCTATAGTACCATCAGAGTGGTATTTGATTTTAAACACCCATTTACAACCAACACAGTTTTTGTTTTCAGGTAAATCAACTAACTCTCAGGTATTTGTTTTTTCCAGAGCATCTAGCTCTTTTTTCATAGCAGCTTGCCATAATGGATCTTTGGCTCCTTGGGAGTAGGTTTTAGGTTCAGTTTGGTTGGTAATGAATGCAGTGTAACATGCATGATTGCAGATAACTGAGTAGTAGACAGAAAATTGGAAATAGAATACTTTATGGATGTCCCAGGTGTGCTTGAAGAAGTGTTAAAAGAAGAGGCTGTATTAGGAAGTAAGTGTTTATATATGTCCAAATATGCAGGGGTTTTTGAAATTCTGTTTGACTTTCTTCTTGGTGGAGAAGGGACAATTTCTGTATTTCTTGGTGGAGAGGGTACAATTTCAGTATTTCTTGGTGGAGAAGGCTGAGAGATTGAGGTGTCACTGTTTGTTTGTATGATGGGGGGAGCAGGTAGTAGTGGAATTTGATCTGTAGTAGGGAGCTGAGAAATGACTTTATCATGATAGGTGAATGGTGAAGTAGGGGGAAAAAGTAAATCAGGATCATGGGAAGTCTGAAAAGGGAACACATCTTCATAAAAATGCACATTCTTGAATTTATTGTTTTCTTAGTATCAAGGTTGTAAAGTTTGTATCCTTTACAACCTATAGGATACCCAAGAAAGATGCATTAGGATGCTCTTGAATCAAACTTTGATCTATTGGCAGTTAAAGTGGATGCATATGCAAGACATCCTATGACTCTGAGATGATCATATGAAGGTGGTTTTTTGTAAAGCATTTCAAATGGTGATTTGTTATGCAAAACAAGTGTAGGAACCCTATTGATTATATGAGCAGCAGCAAGTAGGTAAATGAGCATGAAATAGTAAGGCTCTTACAACATTTAATAAGTGCTGGTGTTTCCTCTCAACTCTAGCATTTTGTTGAGGGGTTTCTACACATGATGTTTGATGTATAATGCCATGTTGATGATAAAAATCTTTTAAAAGAAACTCAGTCCTAGTGTCAGATCTGAGTATCCTTATCTTTTTGTCAAACTGAGTGGAAATCATATGAATGAAATGCAACAAACTATGCTTAGTATCTGATTTGACTGTCAATGGATATATCCAAGTAATTCTAGTGTGGTCATCCACAATGGTGAGAAAATACCTAAAGCCTTCATGAGAAATAGTGGAGAATGGTCCCCCACAAGTCACAATGTATCAAATCAAAGGGAGCAGAAGCAATAGATGTACTGATAGGAAAAGAAATTTTTCTTTGCCTTGCAAAGTGGCATACATCACATGATAAAGGTATCATGTCTTTACAGGAAGAAGATGTAATATGTAATTGCTGCAGTTTAGAGTATGATAGGTGTCCTAGTCTATTATGCCAGATGCTATTATGAACAGATGCATTACAAGTTGTTTCAGACTTTACATGTGAAGCAGATGTTACATTCAAAGGAACAGAATTAGAAAAATGATAGAGTCCATCTTTCAGATCAGCAGAACCAATCATTTTCTGAGTTAGCATGTCCTGTAACCTGCAAGAACTTGACAAGAAAGTGACAATGAATTGATTGGAACATACTAGCTTGGACACAAATATCAAATTAAATGTGAAACTGGGAACATATAATACATCATGAAGTGTGATATGATCATTTAGTTGAACCGAACCCTTATCACATGCAATGGTGTGTTGACCATTAGGGAGATTGATATGCACAATAACAGGTAATGGTGTATCCACATAGAAATTTAAGTCACAAATCATGTGGTCAGTGGCTCCAGTATCAAGAATCCAAGTATGTTTAGATATACCTCTATTTATCATACATGAGAAATGAGAAGATATACCTGCAGGAGAGTGCATTGCAGTAGCTACCACAGGAGGTACAAAAGCTGTAGTGATATTTTGTGACTCTTGTGCTTTTTTGAATGCTAAAAACTCAGAAAAGAGATCATTAGTATGTTTGGATGAATCATGATCAAGATAGTTTGAGTCACATTAGCAGAGGGATTCGCTGAATGTCTAGGGCCTTTAGGACCAGGCCAATTCTCAGGATAACCAATAATCTGGAAACATTTGTCAATTGTATGGCTTGTGTATCCACAATGAGTGCATTTGGTCTTCTTTTTGTCTCTGTATGGTGGTTTCTGGAATTTTTAGTTTGGGGCAAAGGATTTAGCAAGCATTGCTAGGGGATTCATAGGTTGTGGATTGTTTTGGAGAGATCTCTGTGTTTCTTCTTGTAATAAGAGTGAGTAGATTTTCGACAGTGCTGGCATTGGGTTAGATAGAAGAAAATGGCTCCTAAGAGCAGAGTAGGAATCATGCAACCCAACCAGAAATTTCATCACAAGAGTCTTGTTGTTGAGACACAACCATAGAATCAATGATATTACAAGTGCAAGAAGACATGGCACCACAATTACATTTGAATATCGGTCTGTAGGTTATATACTCATCCCACAAGGTCTTGAAAGAATTATAATACCGTGTAACAGACAAAAAACCTTGAGAAATAGTAATAAGTGACTTTTCTAGTTGAAAACCCCTAGGACCGCTACTCAACACATATGTGGTTTTCATTTCAGACCAAACTTCTTGTGCAGTAGTAAAGAAAAGCAATGATTGTCTGATATCCTTCGAAATCAAGTTAAGTAACCATGAGAGAACCAAATTATTGGCCCGCAACCAAGGTATATAGAGAGAGCAGAGTTACCAGATGAAGGAGCAACCAATGTACCATCAACAAAACCAGTCTTATTCTTCACATTGAGGGCCATAAGAACGGCGCGAGACCAGGAAACATAATTTTCGCCATTAAAAAGCTCTGCAACTATCAACGCTCCTGGATTATCGCTCGCGTGAAGGTAATACGCCGAGGTTGGATCATCAGATGGATTAAGTGTCGCCATCGAGTGGATTGGCACCAAAGATAGAGCGATCAAGGAGATCTATAGAAAAAAAAAACGAAAACAGGATCGAAACTAGGGTTTCGTCCAGAGATTAGATCGCGAGAGAAAAAAAATGAAGATATAGCAATTACAGTGGAAATCACGACACTGCGATAGATCGATTGCCGGCAATTGATACCATATTGAGATCAACGATCGAATTTCAGGTGAAGCTATGAATTGAACCAGAAGAAGAAAGAAAGAGAAAGCAATACATGTGGCTTTATTTTTGAGAATGTGGAAATGTGAAAAGTGGGATGAAGAGTTAGGGTTTGAGTATGTATATAGTACAAGATGTCCTATAGTCGCTATTGTGTAAGTAGCAACTTTACATTATGTCCTACTAAAATCAGTGTTTTAAAACGCGCATAGCGCATCGCGTCGCGTTTTGGTCCTTATATTGCGTAGCGTAAATAGCGTAGCGCATTGCGTAAGTTATTCGAGCAGTTCACTTTTAATGTCAAAAATAATAATATATATAACCAAACTTGCCTAAAGTCCTCAACTAAAATATCTAAAGTTCGAAAAATTAATTCTAGGTCGGGTTCACTTTACCTTAAATAAAATAATTTTTTTAGCTTAAATAAATTAAACCCATATCTACCTTAAAATATTTTTAAAAAAAATGGTCACTATCCTTATTCCTACCCACTCACACCTCACAAGGACACATATCCTACCCTAAAATTTTTTTCTCTCCGTTTTTTATTCTTTCTCTCCTTTCCTCTTTCTTCATTCTTTCCTCTTTCTTCTTCCTTTTTTCTTACTTCTTCTCGCACACAATTTTTTTTCCTTCTTTCTCCTAAATTTTCTTCATCTTTATTCTTCTTTTTATTTTCTTTCTTTCTTCTTGTTTCTTCTTCTTTCATTCGCAGACAGCGATTTTGTTTTTTCTTTCTGTTAAATTGATCTATTCAAACTCACAAACACAAATTTCTCAACACTCTCCAATTAAATCAATTAGCCCCAAAATCAAGTAATGAAAAACACGATTGAATTGACAGTTTCAATTGGTCAGAGACCGAGACCAAAGGACCGGCGGCTTGGGTGTGTTGCACTGAGGGGCCCGCGACGGTGTGGTTCGGCGAGGGAGTGAACGGGGTTTTTTTGTGAGTCGTGACTTCGGTTCGTTGGCCTGTTCACTTTTATTTATTTTTTTCTTTTTTTCTGCTTATGAAAATTGAAGCCCAAATAGCGTCCGCTTTCGCAAATATTGCGTAAATAGCGTACGCTTTCGCAAAAAAAGTGTGCAAAAGTGTGCCACGTCATCAAAGGCGTACGCTATTTTGGAACTACGCGAAATTATGAGCGCTACAGCGCGTGTTTGATGAAAAATGCGCTATTGCGCGCTATATAGCACGCGAGAAAACGCTATTTAAAACACTGACTAAAATAAACAATACTATTACAACTTTAAAGGAGAAACAATAATAAAATTAATCAATTACAATATTATTATGATTGTTTGTTTGGAGCGCACCTTGACTGAATATGAAATTGTTTGGGGGTAACTCGGTTGAGCTAAGAATGGAATTTTGGTTTCATTAAATGCTAAACTGAAGTTGTAGGATGCGAGTTTTGAACAACATTATTTTGACGCAATATAAGTTAGATAGTAAACAATATCGTTCTCATACACGCACACACGAATTTTGCATGTGAGGGAATTTTTTCTTTTTGGTAGCAATCCAACAATTAATGGTAGATTTGCTTGATTGTATAGTCAAAAAAATAATAATAATTATAAGAAAATAATAAAAATAATGAAAATAATAATAACAATAATACTGTACAAGAAAAAGAAAACTAAAGTGAGATAAGAGATCAATAATCTATCATTATATAAAAAGAATAACCTTTTTACAAATATAAAAACTTTTTCCCGCCAAAATCATTAAATATATCCTAATATAGTAATTGTTGGACAAATCTGAATAGGCAAAAAAATCGGCTCATTTTTTTTAGTTTATCAAAACCGTTGTTTGACAATAAATATTTGTTTTTCTTTTTCCTATTTTTAGTATAAATCTACACGCTTATCTCTTCTGTTACAAAATCCCATTGCATACGATCTCACGTGTTTAAAAAATTTCATCCCTTATCTATACAGATTTAAAAAAATAAAATAAAATAGAAATCAATTCATAATTACTACTAGAAATCCATTATTTTTAAAAAGAAAAAATAAAATAAAATAGAAACTAATTCATAATTACTACTGGAAATCCATTATCTACTTTAAGAAGCTAATTTTCATCGGTCTAATTACTAATATTTTTACAAATATTATAAGCTAATCGGTCTAATTACTAATATTTTTACAAATATTATAAGCTAACCATACAAAAAAGTATAATAATAATTTTGAAATGGTGTGTAATCAAATTTTTTTATATTCTCTTATACAAAATAATTTTATATTGTTTGACCCCGAATCTATAATTTATAATTATTAAGTATTGTTTATCCTCCTCTTTAATTTATAATTATTTTGTTTGCTTCCTCTTTTTAAATAGGAACAATAGTAATTTCCACTTCCGTCATTAAGTGACTCAAACTCGAGGTCTATTTATAATATTATTAATTTAATATTGTTTCCGTGCATCGCACGGGGTATACACTAGTTATTGATAATAATATTAACAATAATAAAAAAAAAGAAAAAAGAAAACAAAAGTGAGATAAATTATTGATTAATTAATTACGCACAAAACCGTATCACATCATTATTACGAAGACTTAGATTTGGAAATAAATCAAAACTTCCAATTTGGAAATAAATCAAAAAAGTCGAACAATTAGCTTTTTCCAATATTAATAACCCCCAACACACGATCTTAATTCCCACGAAACCACCAAAATATCAATTTCATATTCAACAAATTTCTCACAGTCATGGATCACACGACGATCGCCGCCGCCGTAACAAGTGCCGCCGCAAAGAAAACAAAGGGGCGGCAGAAGCTGGAGATGAAGAAGATCGGGAAGAAGATCACCTTCAGCAAGCGCCGCAAGGGCCTCTTCCGGAAAGCCGGCGAGCTAAGCGTCCTCTCCGGCTCCGAGATCGCGATCCTCGTGCAGTCTCCGGCCGGAAAGATCTTCGCTTTCGGGACGCCCACCGCCGACGCCGTCTTGTGCCGTCTTAAGGGAGTCGAGTACCAGGACCAGTCGGCGTTCGAGCGGGCGGAGGCCATGAGGCTGAGGTACGAGGAGGCCGTCAGGAAGCTGGAGGCGGAGATGAGTGCCAAGGCGGAGGACGACGGCGGGTCGTGGTGGGAGAGGGATTTTGAGGGCATGGATGTGGCGGAGCTCGAGGAGTACGCGGCGGCTTTGGAGAGTTTGAGGAACGGAGTTTTGAAGACCGGTGGAGGATCTCACTTGTGATGCTGCCCATGATTTTGGGGATTAGGATTTTGGAGTATAATTAGTGATTAGGATTTTTGGAGTATAATTAGTGAAGATTCTTGATTATTTTCTTGACGAAATGTAGTTCATTCTATTTTACTAGTACTCGTGCCATGTATTTTTCTGAAATTTTTTTTAATATTAATATTAAATATAATACAGTTTGTAGATATGTAACAAATGTAAAATAAAAAAAAAAACAAAAACAAATTTTAATCATTGTATTTTGATTTTTTATCTTTGTTTGAGCACACCGTCCGATTAGAAGAAGAATTTGACGGCGAAACCGAAGGCCGAAGACTGTCGATATGAGGTAGACCAATCGTTAATTGTATTGAAACCGAAGTTCGACTGTCTAATTTATAATCTACTGGGCGTTAATTATTAAGTTCGAACTCCAAATTTTTCTTACAATCTATTATTGAATTGAAAGGGGAAAAAACAAAATGTGGAGTTAGAGAGGCCATCCGATTCAAATCCAAGCTATGGATAAAGAAATCCATCGGCGTCCACTAAAGGTTCGTATATATTTGACATGAGTGCATTTCTTTAGATCTGCATAACCTTATAATTTTTTCTAATTTTGACTTAGCATGCGTGCATTTCTTTCAAATCTACCATAAATTTCATTTTGTAATCTGTGTAAGCTTTTAATTATTTCACTAATTCGAACAGACTTTGTTTGTTTAGATGTGTCAGTGTGTGTTTGCTTTCGTTACATGTTCTAATCATTGTATTTTGATTTTGTATATTCGTTTGAGAATATCTTCCCATTAGAAGATATATTTGACGGCGATATCGAAAGCAAAGCTGAGCAAGAAAAACTCCAACATGATGACCAAGAAAATCGACGATTACACGAAGGTTCGTAATTTTCGAATTTAGATTTTATAATCAACAATAAATCTAACTTCTATTGTATATATCTATTTCATAATATGATGTTGAATCGCAAGGGCTAAAAACAAAATCCGGAGTTAGATCGGCCGTCCGGTCCACTTACAAACTGAGTAGAAAGAAATGAATCGGAGTCTACTAAGGTTCGTAAATATTTGAAGTGAAGTTTATTTCTTAAAAACAACTGTGCATTCTGTTAACATGCAGTTCACAAATCTTTAATGTACAGAACGCAAACATTGGAGATTCATGCAAGAAAATATATCAGCCCTTCACTGGCCGAGCAGACCAAACTATGAAACTGCAGCTATATATACAAAAAAAGGGTAAACTTCTTTTCCGCTGCATAATATTTTTACTAGATTTTTTTCTACATTGATAAAATAAATATAAAACATACATAAAGCTATTAGTAGTTTTATGTTTGTATATTTATTTATATTTATGTTTCTGCACAAAATGCATATACAAAATACGGAGAATGATCAAACAAATGCATGAACACAAAAAACATTACACAAATTGTGTTATGGCAATATGAATTGCAATCAGATAAGTTATCCAAACTGCTATGAATAAATATAGCTGTAGTAAGATATGGTAAACTATATCAGTAGAGTATGATCTTAAGAAATAAAAAATGGCAGTCAAGCAATGAATACAACAAAATCTTTATATATTTACCTTGCAATATAGTTCCTTCAGCAGATTTTTTGCTCCTTTTGTTAAATCCCTTATGTGTTGAAGTGATCGTATCCGATTTTATCAAAGATTCTAGCATTTTGACGTGCAGACAGAATTTGCAATATATGAATAAAAAAATTTCAAGTATATGTGTTATTAAAACGAAATTATCAACTGAAGCATGAATGTCGACATTGTTTCTTCTAATCAGTTTGTTGAATTCTTTANTGTAATGGTTTTTTTTTCTGACTGCATCTCCATCCATTGAAGCCACTACTATTCATATATAGATACATTAAATAAATGGATTAATAGTGCAAAAAACATCAATATTACATTTTGATTGGAGAAATAAAATAAAGCCAGTACATGTACAAAAATGATAAAGAAATTACCTTGGGTTTTGCCTGTGTCTTTAAACTTGTTGCTGCGCTTTTTGGATTGATTATTGGTTGAACTATCTGGTATTGGTTCATCCGAGTCCATTGAACCTTGTATATACTTGTAGTTCCAATCCTTGTAAACAAAAACACAATAAAATTATTTTAAGAAGATTAGTTCAAATCTGAAGATATAGAATGAAGTTCTTATGATATATAGGGGAATGTACATACTCTGAATCTTAAAATAAGATTTTATGAAAAGCCTTTGAAGAGTTTATGCGAAGTTAAAGACGTGAAAGTTATCAATGGAAGTCCGCTTCTTTAATAGAGAGAATATAGGATAGTTAGCGGGCATCAAATCAAAATCTCTTATTAGAGATTAAAGAATATAGGAAAAATCTCGGTCAATGAATACCCAGTATTTTTATAAATTTTATAACGATTTAGAATATTAAGATATGGTCAAATTTTGAAAGAATGGTATCTAAATTGTAAATTTATTTTTTCCATTTGGAAAGTATTTTATACGCGGGGCGTATCAGAATTAATTGGTACTTTTATTTTATAATACGATTGACAAAAAGACATGAGAAATTTATCAACGAGAGTCAGCTTATTTAATAGAGAGAATATAGGATAGTTAGCTATATATGGGCATCAAAATCTCTTATTAGAGTAGAGAATATAGGAAAATCCTAGTCAATGATACCCAGGATATATCTAAATCTTAAATAAATTTAAACTATTAAGATATGGTAAACTTTCATAACAGTCTAATACTCTCCGTGTATAAAACACGGACCAAATGGTAAAAAATCATTATAGATTTATTTACATAAAGGAATAAGTAAATTGGATATAAATCGAATCTTATTCTATATAGTTATCTCAATCTTTACCTATTTATCTCAATAAACAGGATCTATGAAGATCTTTACATAGTTATCTAAATTAGGGATAAATTCTAATCTTTACATAGTTATCTAAGTTAGAGTTGTTAATTTTGGATGTGGTGGAAATATTCTGATATTCAATATTTTTGAAAAATCCGATATGTTTGAATTACGTGAAATGTTAGAGTTGGTTGTTATATTCGATCTCTTTTTACAATTCGAACTTCAAGAAGATTTACACGAAAAATTGAATAGGAATACCTTTATATTAAATGAACATTAAATAGTGATAATTCGAAGAATTATTTAAATTTTTATATTTATATTTTAATTATATAGGATGACATCCGATTTAACTAGATAAGATTGAAGTGTACCATATACATAAAATGAAACAAAAAAAAAAAAACAATAATATGTGATCAACATGAATAAAAAAACGGACAACTATATGCTGCCTCTAGCAATTTTATTTATTAAAACTTATCAATCCATCAAAAAATAAATACTAAACCACCAATGGTGTCCAAATTGCAATAACTTGCTTGAAAACTTAGAAATAATAAATCCTGATCCAACAGTGGTGTCCAAACTGCAACAACTTGCATGAAAACTTATTATAAATGAAGTACTATAATAAAAATCATGTCAAATCTTCGAATTATTTATCCTTCAATCTTCGACTTCCCCTTATCCTTAGAAACAGATTAGGCCTCAAGGGCAAGAACAACGTCCTCGGAATTGCTTTTAGCTCCTCACAAAGATTCCTTTTGGCTGCAGAAGTGTCACAAACAGCCTCTTTTTGAGCAGCAATCTTTATAGGAGTCGACATTTGATCCCCATCATCCTAAATGAACGAATATGTGTTACAAATATTATGCATAAAATAAAACAAAAAATGCAAAAAATATTAAATTATTCGATTAACTTATTACCTCTGCATCTTGTTCCCTCAAAAGAAGAGTCATAAAATCAAATTCCTTTTAAACAAAAATAATAATAATAATTAGCGAACAATTATTTGTAAAAAGTATATAACTTTGGTATATTAAAATAATAGTACAGTAAAAATAATATAAATCTCTAAAAAAGCTTACGTTGGTCTCAACAACCCCTTGGTTGAATTTTGACATTATAGTCTCATCGTTAACGACTCTAACGATAGTAAACGATGAATTGTAGCCAAAACGTTGGTTATGTTGGACACAAACTTTGAAAAGCATTGTCTTGCCAACCAACTCTTCTACTTCATCGGGAATCTCATAGCCAATCCTCTTCTATTAGGAGTACCAAAAATTCAAATTTAAAATAATAATTAAGAAATTAAAATAATTTCGTATATATAATTTTATAGATATAATAATTAATAATTTGAACAATATGAAAATTATTGGAAAATTGTTACCCGTTCAACAAACTCACGCCTAAGCACATCGCAACTCTTTCCAATAAGTTTCTCACAATCACTATCCCAACACATTAAGGTAGCATCTGCACTTGCATCGCCGGCAACAAAGCGAATCTTATACTTATAAATAGAGAACAATATATAGTTAAGTTTATTGTTTATTATTTTTGTCCACGAATTGTAATAAGATATAAGAATGAAATGTAAAAATTAAATAATTGGCTTACCGGAACACACCCCTCTTTCCTTTGCACTTAGACATTCATAGTGGCCATCATTCTCTTCCATCTTACTACTACACTTGCGGCATGCGTGGTAATACCAATCAATCAAAGATTGAATAGTAGCACAAATCTAAGTATTTGTTTCCTTATAAGAAAATAAAATATAATATTCATCTGAATACGTCATCAAAATTAAATATAATATTTATTGTACTTGATTACCTATATTTACGAAATTAATTACCTTCTCAAGTTCGTAAAGACTATCCACAGAAGCAACCACAACATTTCCAACTGCAAATTCGTCAATTTCATCACGAGCCACAATTGAACTCCTCAAATTAACCACCGGAGGACGAACATGTTCATTACCAAACCTTATAACAAATATGTATTTATTAATAATTAAAATATAAAATAATCAAATCTAAGAAATAAAAATAAATAAATAGCAATAAAACAATAAATCTTACCTCCTACGGAAGTCTTCAATTTCGGGAACAGACTCCAAAGAAATAAGTCGAGTCACATCGTGAGGAGTAGTCAATCCCACATTTGCTATTAGAGATCCAAATACAATAAATGTAATAACCAAATATATATATATATATATATATATATATATATTTATATATATATATATATTAAAAAACAAAAAACAAAAAAAACATAGAGTACAAAATTGTATGAGAATAGTTACCTCCATAAGGCTTTGCACGGCAAAGGTTCACGATCAGTACCAAGGAGTAGTCCGGCCAGCATATTGGGACTCCAATTCCAGAAACTTATCAACATAATTGCTCCATAGCGTCCAACAAATTTTGTTCTCCCTAAAGTTTTAAATATATTGAAATAATTAGAATAATGTATACAAACCAATTGATATAAAAAAAAAATTGAAAAAAATAAATGTATTATCCCCTTACTCCAAGTCCATTAGATGGAAAAACAATCATTCGGGTTGGCACTCCTTTGATGATCTTAATGGCAACGGATCCAATTTCAACGACAAAGCCAATAACACCTAATAAAATAATTAAGCAACTAAATTATAATCAAAAAAATTCAAATTAGTTTCAATTTAAAAAAAAAACATACATAACTTCGAACATACCAAAGAGGATGTATTCATCGACGTTATCAGGATCACGAGCGTGACGAAATTCCTAAAATCAAAACGCCACCACGGAAATTCTCCTTTGAACTTCAATAGCTCAGTCATTCCGTGAATCACAGGCTTATACTTGTGAATTGAAGATCTATATAATCCAATATTTTTATCAACTTGATAATTTCGGATAGCATATACTTTGCCTTCTTGGAGAAAATCTTTAAATTTTAGAATATTCACTGATCGAATCATCGCAGTTATGCGAGCGCACCCTACACAAAATCGTAAAAAAAAATGTAATTAACGTGTATGATGAGGAATATTATAAAATATCCATAAATTCATTGAAAAATAGTTTACCTCTTCGTCGTGGAAAATGATTTCCAACACATTCTTGTACTTAGCATCAAATTTTCTCACAAAAACACGCACAGTCCTTAACTTCAAATATGGCTTATTGGTTCGAGTTTTGAACAACACTATTTTGACGCAATATAATTTAGATAGTTAACAGTATCGTTCTCAAAAAGAAATTTCTCTCTCTACAAATTTCTCTCCCCCATTTCAAAAAACCTAGGGGAATCTCGCTCAACGGAGCCTCCCTTCCTCCAGCACATTGGCCCCATCTCTCCGAATCGACTCTTGGGCTTTTGGCGCCCCTCCCCGCTGGTCGTCCACCCCTCCCCTGCAGCGTCTCGCCTTTTCCGGTTGGCTGTGGGGGATGATAGGGGTTTTCGGCTCACGGGAGAGTGTGGCAAGGATGGCTCCGATCGCCGTGCGTCGGTGGCTGTGGTCGAGACAATCGGTTAATTCTATTCTCCGCTCCTCTTCTCGTCCTGGTGCTGGCTTGGAGGGGTCCTCCGGTGGTGGCACCCGACACGGTCGTGTTGGTTCGTTGCCTTCAGGGCGGACTGGAGGTGGAGTTATCCGCGAGTCTCCTAGGAGTTGACCCGGTGGTGGCCACTCGGGTAGGTCGTTGATCTTGTCGATTGGCGTTCAGTGACGGGTGGTCGCTTGGGTCTCAGCTCGAATGGTGCGGGTGCGGCGTGCGTTCGGTCGGAGGGGAGGGTAGTCATCCTTTTATTTTCTTTGTTTTTCTTGTAGTTGTCTTATTTGTTTGCTAGTTTGTGTGCTTTGATGTTTGGTTTGTTCTGTCCGCGTTTTCTTTTTTTTCTCTCCCATTGAGAGTGTGTTTGGTGTATTCTTTTGTTGAGAGCTTTTGATTTTATTCTTCTTTTGGGAGCATTGTGTGTTTTGTGTTGTAGGTTGTGTGTCCTTTCTCCCTTTGGAAGTTCTTGTGCTTTTGGGTAGGTTGACTCTAGGCTACTGGCGGGGTGTGTTGTATTGTGTAGTCCTCTCTGCTGGAGTCACCTATTCAGCTAATTCGGCCATTGACTGCTTATTCGGCTGAGTAGCTGATCCTAGTTTCGACNTAATAATAATTATAAGAAAATAATAATAATAATAATACCGTAAAAGAAAACAAAAGTGAGATAAGAGATCAATAATTATTGATTAATTAAGTACGCACAAAACCGTATAAATGCTACACAAGAACCAATTTGGAAATCACACAAGAACCCATAAATAACCCCCAACACACGATCTTAATTTCCACGAAACCACCAAAATATCAATTTCATATTCAACAAATTTCTCACAGTCATGGATCACACGACGATCGCCGCCGCCGTAACAAGCGTCGCCGCAAAGAAAACAAAGGGGCGGCAGAAGCTAGAGATGAAGAAGATCGGGAAGAAGCCCAATCTCCAGGCCACCTTCAGCAAGCGCCGTAAGGGCCTCTTCCGGAAAGCCGGCGAGCTCAGCGCCCTCTCCGACTCCGACATCGCGATCCTCGTGCAGTCGCCGGCCGGAAAGATCTTCGCTTTTGGGACATCCACCGTCGACGCCGTCTTGGGCCGTCTTCAGGGAGTCGAGTACCAGTACCAGCTGGCGTTCGAGCGGGCGGCGGCCATGAATCTGAGGTATGAGGAGGCCGTCAGGAAGCTGGAGGCGGAGAAGAGTGCCAAGGCGGAGGACGACGGCGGGTCGTGGTGGGAGAGGGATTTTGAGGGCATGGATGTGGCGGAGCTTGAAGTGTACGCGGCGGCTTTGGAGAGTTTGAGGAACGGAGTTTTGAAGACCGGTGGAGGATCTCACTTGTGATACGCCCAGGATTTTGGGGGTTTAGGATTTTTGGAGTATAATTAGTGAAGATTCTTGATAATTTTCTTGGTTGAAATTTCTTGACGAAATGTAGTTCTTCATTCTATTTTATATCATTTTTTCTAGTATTGTACATTTATCGTTTTTTTTTTTTTCTTTTTTCAGATTTGTTTTTATATAAAGACTTTGTGCTGTCAAAATTGGTGTATAGTTAAAATTTTGTGTCAATTTGATACGTACTGAGTAAAAAAAAAATGTTTGGTCTGGTTACTATTATGATTTTAAGAAATTTTTGTTCTTGTGCATAAATTGACTGCAAATATTGCACAAATCAAAGTACGAGTTTTACTTTAAACATAGTTTAAGCATAAATTTTTAAAATTTGACAAATTAAGCATTTTTCTATTTACTTTGAGACGTAAAGGTATATTTTATTACACTAGTACAGAGCAATCAAATAAATTATCTATATATATATAATTGCTAGCTAATCTCATTTAATAAAATATTTAATAAAAATATTTTCACTTTCCCTCCAAAAGGAGTTACATTTTTTTTAATTAATTACTCATTAATCTCACATTTAAGAAGGTTTTTTATAGTTAAATTTAATTAGTTAATGACTAAATTAAAAAGATTTATTTTAATTAATCCCACATTTATGTTAAGTACAGTATTATCTTAATATCTTATCAGTTTTTCAAAAAAATAGTAACTTTTTTCAATAAATTTTATAAAAATTAGTCAAATGTGCTTATATTCATATAAATCAGAAAAAAAATTAAATCTTAGATATATAAAAGGAACATCGTTGAAATAACTTGAATCCGCAAGGTAATTCTATACTCATTATCAATTACTTTTAATTTTTTGTTTATATAAAAAATTAATATTATATTTACTCATTTATATTTAGATGGTATTTTTTTTATTAAGAAGCAAGGACAATCTCTATCAATCAATAAGAGTCGAGGACAAACAATATAAAGAAGTGTTTCCTATGCTATGACATGATCAATAAGAGTCAAAGACAGTCTCTGTCGCACGTCGACTTACTACTGAAGAGTTCTGCATTTAGTCATTAGCAATTATACGTGGCGTTTTTTAAAATTACGGGTCAGTGGGGTTTGAAGATTTTGATTTGAGCTGAGGGAGATTTTGACGATAGAAAAACCACGACGTTGTTTTATAAATAAGTGTTTAAGAATATTTATGTTTTTTTTTCTTAATTTTTTTCAATGAATTTGTTATGATTTTTACTGTTGTTTATAATTTTTATTATTTTTTCATGTATCATATAGTTTTCCGTGCAAATGCACGGGACAAAAACTAGTATATCATCATTGTAACGTTTCACACGTACAAGTAAATTCACGCTGTAACTATTTTCTTCACAAAATTAAATTCTAAGAAGGTATAAATATAACTATATAATAAAACTTGAATACTCGACAAGAAAACTAATTTCCTAAACTTAGTGTTTGAACATCAACACTCTAATAAGAACAAAAGAACTAAACGGAGTTACAAGAAACAAGTTTACCATAGTTAATGTGGGGAGGTCTCGGCCAAACCGCAAACATCATTGGGTTTACTCCCAAAAAGCATTTTATTATTATCGTTGGCTCTTATTTCTTTCTTTCATCAAATGATCCATGACGACTTCAGAAGTGATCTCAAGGGAGACATAAATCTCACGGCACCATGTTTGTCAATGATCTATTTCTCCGGTATTAGGTGTTTGACCGAATATTAGCTCAGTGGTGGTAATTTTTCATGAATATCTAGCAGCTCGTGCTCGCTCGCACTCAACATCTCATCTAATTCCCAACTATGCTTTGTAATTTGATCGATCGTCTCAAACGGAAGGATATTTACACCTAAGACATGCTTCAATGTATTCTTTGTAAGTATACATTTCATCTATGGATGGGAAGAGGCAAGTTTCTGCTTTTTTTGGTATAAGAGCGTGAAGAACGACATGTTTTCTGGCGCCAGGGGCTCGAGTATGGGGTACCACAATACTAGGCTATTTTGAAATTGTTTTTTTCTCCATTCATTATTATTTTGTTCTCCAGCCCTTACATGGGCTCTTCATGTCCCTTGAAGTCCTAGCAGCAAGCATGGATGGCACTATAACTAGTTAGATTCGTTTCGAGTTGAGACGATAATTGGTTTATTTGTTCCAAAAGTTGACCGATTAATTTGGCCTTATAAAGTCCTTATTCTCTCATTTGTATCTTATTGGAACCTCTCGTAACCTTGTTGAAATATCAACGTGTTCAATGTCAATGCATTCATCATATCCTCAAGTGATGGACTAGGATTTTGTGCAACTGATGGCTCGGAGTAAAATTCTAGAGATTGACCTTCAAAGCGAGACACATCATTCTCAAGGACTCTCAATGGTTTTGGGCATCCATTAAAAGAGTTCAAGTAACCTCCCAAGGCATATTCATGTTCCTCGGGATACACGTCTCTTGCTCATATCTTCATCAACCACTAAGGAGTCTTACGTCCGTGTATGTACCAAACTCAACTAAAAAAATTGGGCAGTCTGTGAAATACCTCGTGGCTGTACAAGGGAAGCATCGTCACACATGACGGTCTCTAGCTAGGGATCCCCGAATCAAATGCAATCAAGGATCTTGGTCACAAATGAGTTTGCCTCATATCTCCTTATACTCGTAAGTTGAACTATGGGTGTAGAACTCATGAGAATGCATGGACATACGTAGTAGTAGTAGTAATAATAATAATAATAATAATATGTGGTGATTTCTGGTGCTTCCTACTCCTATTGTCGACTTATGGTCTTTCGTAATTTTATATGTCAAATTCTGATCGTTTCAAGTAATCCATGAAGATTTAGATATTATCCATAATACATTTAAAATTATAAAACACTTAGTCAACTTAAATATTCATATAGAATATATGAAATTAACTATTTTTTCACAATCTTCTTACTAATATCTATATTGTGGGAAATGCTACGGTCCCGTTACGGAACCATCCTGTCGGGTGTTTTAACCGTTAGATCATCTATCTTATACTAACTATATGTGGAACCATCCTGTCGGGTGTTTTAACCGTTAGATCATCTATCTTATACTAACTATATGTGTATCCAACGGTTAAAACCCCCAATGGTATGATTCCGTAACGGGACCTTAGCATTTCCCCTGTATTGTATATGTGATATAAAAAAAAAATATTTATATATATATAAATTAAATAAAAATAATATAAATTTTTAAGAAGTATTTAAAATTTTAAATAAAAATAATGATTCTACTTATTAATCCATTTATTAAATATTATTCTCAATTAACACACGTGCGATACCACATTTAATGTTACAAATAAGTGAGAGAGAAGCATAAACTCGTTAAATAAAACAAAATAAAATAAATTGAGAAAGAAATCATTAATTAGAAATCGCATCATTATTACAAAGACTTAAATTTGGTAAATCAAAACCATCCCATTTGGAAATCACACAAGAACCTATAAATAACCCCCAACTCACGATCTTAATTCCCACGAAACCCCCAAATTTTCAATTTCATCTTCAACAAATTTCTCCCAGCCATGGATCACACGACTATCGTCGCCGCCGTAACAAGCGCCGCCGCAAAGAAAACAAAGGGGCGGCGGAAGCTGGAGATGAAGAAAATCGGGAAGAAGCCCAACCTCCAGGTCACCTTCAGCAAGCGCCGCAAGGGCCTCTTCCGGAAAGCCGGCGAACTCAGCGTCCTCTCCGGCTCCGAGATCGCGATCCTCGTGCAGTCGCCGGCCGGAAAGATCTTCGCCTTCGGGGCACCCACCGTCGACGCCGTCGTTTGCCGTCTTCAGGGAGTCGATTGCCAGTACCAGCCAGCGTTCGAGCGGGCGGAAGCCATGAGGCTGAGGTACGAGGAGGCCGTCAGGAAGCTGGAGGCGGAGAAGAGTGCCAAGGCGGAGGACGACGGCGGGTCGTGGTGGGAGAGGGATTTTGAGGGCATGGATGTGGCGGAGCTTGAAGTGTACGCGGCGGCTTTGGAGAGTTTGAGGAACGGAGTTTTGAAAACGGTGGAGGATCTCGGCTGTGTTGCTGCCCAGGATTTTGGGGGTTTAGAATTTTTGGAGTATAATTAGTGAAGATTCATAATTTCTTTTTTTTTTTTTTAGTGCAGTTCTTCATTTTATTTTATATTTTCTAGTACAGATTATGTTAAATGTAAAATTTCTCTTGTTTTCCTGTTTTTTCAGATTTTGTTTTATAAAAATTGCTTCGTATTAAAATTGGCGTATAAGTAAAATTAATTAAATTTTACTTCACTTAGAAGGGTTATTAATAATAACCCTATATAATGTCGAGAACTAAAAAAATTATTTAACTTTTAACATATTAAATAATGCAAATGTCATACATGGGACTAGAATCCGAATTACGGCTAAGAGAGTATTTGAGCATCAATTAAAGAATGTCCACAGATAATTTTCGATTGTTTAATTATAACTTCATTAATTATTACAAAGATACTTAAAATTGGAAAGAAAATAACAACCATCATATTATTGAGGAAACTAATCAAAATCTTCCAATTTAAAAATCGCACAGAATCTTAAGACAGACACACGCCCAAGAAAGCAAAATTTCAATTTCAGTTTCATCTAATCTAGTAAAGATTTTGTTAGTTGTGCTTTTTCCTTCTTTTTCAGATTTTGTTATTATAAAATTTGGTGTTGATTAAATTTTACTTAATTTTAGATGTTATTAATAACCCTATACAATAACCATGAGGCCAGCACAACTGTACAAATACATAAAACTTAGAAAGAGAAAAAAATTGTTCTATGACAAAACCGACTCAAATGGAACATGTAGAGAAATACAAATGTCAACTCATAAGGAAAAGGAGAAAAAAGTTTTTTTTTTTCAAAAAAAAAAAAGTATTTAATGCATTTCAAAAGTCATGAAGCACCAAATGCCCTGGGATACATCTAAATTTACACTCTGAAACGACTACTGAAGTTTTAAAAGACCTCAATGCCACTAATAGCGCCTCACCGGGCCAAATGAGCCCAACAAAGACGTGAACAAACGATAATTTTAACCCGTTAGAAGGGCCCAGGGACCATTTGAGTGGTGGGCCTTTTGCTGCGGCCCTCTTTTCACTTTCCACCTAGGGAAGGAAACTGCCCGACATCTTCAATAGCTGGGGCCCGGAAGTCATGAACGGTTGGGCCTCCGTACCCACCACGGCCACTTCCCCTCCCACGCCCACTTCCTCTGTAGTAGTTTTCCCCATTCGCAGGCTTCAGAAACTCGTTTATGCTTACGGACTTTTATCACAAAAAAAAAATAAAATGAGTTCAGATTTTAAAACTATTAATAAACCAAGAGCATGGACAAATGCATTTTAAACAGGCGGAAATCTCATGTCTATAATGACTTTTTTAACAAAGACTGAAAGTTAATTTCATTTTGGTAGGTTCATAGTAAAGCTATGAGCACCTAGGAGAAAAAATGTACAACAAAGCCTATAGCCCCCAATGGACATAAACTAACATGAGTACTAAAACTACTGATTCATCAATTTGACATAAAAATGTTGTACGATTGCTCGTATTTTTACTATACTGTGCAGATCTACTAAAGTAGAAAGCCAATTGTCTGATAGAACCAAGCTATAGTGTGTATGACTCTGTTGCCCGATTGGTTATTATGATATACTATACTTGCAAGATATCACATGCAGCACTTTTTTCAAAAGAAAATGAGCATTCAAATTCAATCAAAAAAAAAAAAAAAATGAAATTCTTCTATGCTAAGCATGACACATACCCACCAGGACAAACGCAAATACGACCAATTGTTATTGAATAAATGAAACTTTCACATCCTCAAATTTAGATTTACTGAATACTGATTCAAGTTTTTTCAAAGGTCCTCAAAGTTAATTTTAGTTATTGTTATGAAAAATACATAATGCTGCAGAAACTATACGACAAAAATGTACCTTTTTTGCCTTCTCAGCAGCAGCCTCTTTGCGTTTGTCCTTATCAGACCCCTGCTCAGTTACTAACAATTTCAGTACAATCAACACATTAACAGCTACATATCTATATAACAAACGATTGGCATTGAGCAATTGCAAGGATTACACTAACCAGTTTAACGAACACTTCATCATCATTCTTCTTGTTGGATAGAAGTTGCATGGACTCAAGTTCTTTGTCCAAGTTGACCTTTCTTTCCTCAGTTTTCAGCGAAAGTAATGCCTTTCTTTTCTCTTCGAGTACCTTCTCATATTCCTCCAATGTCATCTCCTAAAATGATACATATACCACTAAGGCTTAATCTTCTTATTAAAAAAAAATGATAAATGTTATGAAAACAATGTGGCTATGTAAAATTTCATACCTTCTCCTCTGACTCAACTTCTTCCTTTTCATTAGGAGAAGCATCCTTGTTTGCATCACCAGCAACATCTTGCCCTGATTCCTTTTCAGACTCGACATTTTTCACTTCATTTGTGGGATCTTCATTTTCCCTAAATTCCAAAACCCAGTGAACACAAACATTATACAAACAAATTTGTGACATGCAACATATACAAGAAAAATATTCAGTGCTTACGGCAAAATCTCATCAGTGGGAGTCCCCCAATTTCCACGCCCAGCACCCTCACGTTTGAACTCATTCCTGCAGGCATACATACACATAAATATCCGTGTGTATTCATTCTTACAACCAAAAAATGGGAAAACCAATTGGAAATAGAAAAATAAACATAAAAAACAAGAACAAATGTCGATGGATTGCCTTACCCACGCCCAGTCCCACTTCGACGCTCGTAAAACCTTCGTCCATCGTTAAATTCCCCGTTATTGAAACCACCACGACGGCCACCACGGGACCCACCATACGGCCGCCTTTCAGCAGAATCTTTCCTGCCATCACCATCTTCAGAAGGCTTGCTGAGGCCACCAGAAAAACCAGTGCTGTTCCCGAATGCATTTTCACTGTCAAATGTGTCTCTGTTGTATACACGGCCACCGCGGGCCCCACCACGGCCTCCACGCTGGCCTTCATTCCTCGACTCCCTCACTGAAAAATAATATCAGATAAATCAAGGGTATAAAGCAAGAGACAAAACCTTCTTAAATTCAGTAATGCAAGAAAATAAAACATAAATGAAGGGAACAAGGGTCATGTGATAGGAAAGACAGTCTTGGATATCATATATAGGTGTAAGGTATCGGCAAAACCGTAAAAGTAAGCAAAAACTAAGCAGTAAAAAATATTAAATTATTAACACATTGGAAATGAACCTTGCTGAGCTTAATAGCAACTCAGAATAAAATGATAAATGGTATCAAATTCAAATGTAGCCATAACATGGTTACATAATAAATGAGAATCATACCAAAAGAAAAAAAAAATGGTAATCGGACCTAGACTCAGCACCTAATCCAAGTTCAACAATTATAAGGCTAGCAGTATGATGTAACAATGAAGAAAAAAAGATCTAATATAACACCGAAAGAAGCAAAAATGGGCGAATCCATGGTAGTTGAGAGTTAATACTTCTACTTAATAGAACCATCATTCCATAACAAATTGCATCTATAGTTTAGTTCCCCATTAAACATAAGCAACACAACACATTTCAACATAAACAAACTGCTTTCCGATCACTCACCAGCCTGTGCCGGAGGAGCTGGCTTGGTCGGTAACTTAGCCTCCGGTTGAGCTTTAACCGGACCTTTTTTCAGTTGAGCAGGAGCCCTAGCTGGAGCTGGCGCCGCAGCTTTCTGCTGGGCAGCAAGAAGCTGCAATGGGTCCTCGGCGTCATCATCACCCAGAAGCCCAAAAGGGTTTAAAGTGGCCATTTTCTCAAATTCAAATATGAATTGAATTGACCAATATAGACCACCAGAATCTAAAGCTTCAGGCTATAGTTGAGATTCCAAAGAATAAAGTAAAAGCTCTAGCAGCAGGAATCCATGAAAAGGGACGAAAGGGATAGAAATGATTTTAGGGGCTAATTGAAACCATAAATGTGAATGCGGCCGACGGACATGTGAAGGCGATAATCTAATCTTGATAAAACCCTAGAGTGGATGTGGACACTGCGTCCATTGTATATTACCATGGACTAGCAGTAAAAACTTGTACTGAACTTTGTCCATTTCAGTCCCAGCCCAATAAACCTTTCATTGTCAGTTAGTTAGCCATTTCTTCTTGTGCAGCCCAGCCCAAGTTTAGGAGCTCTTTTCTGTTCCTGAGCAATTGAACCCCTTATCACGAATCCAGTCACAGCTAATGTCTATCTTCATTTGAATACTTTTATAATTCACTAATGAAAATAACCCTTACCTTCATAAATAAACATTAGTGAGCTATGATATGATTAAGATAGTCTTGATTGGCCAACTTTTTAATCAAAATAACTGGATACTAACATACTCTAATCTATTTATTGAGGGGGCATATTTAATTAATAAATGTAAATCTCATAACATGAGTGCCCATTTTAGTGAAAATAATATATAGGGTTGATATGTATTACATTTAAAAGTTACTCATATCAGCATTTGATTTATATACATCTCTATATCTCCCAGGTGGTGTAATAATTTTAGAAATTTGATAGACTACAAAAAGTAAATTCAAAAAATACAGTCAATATACAAATTAAATAAGGAACATCTAATACTTTTATTTCAATTATACCCTTACGAAGTTACGTAGTAAACTCAATCATAGTGTATGGTTGACTAGGGGTATATTATCAAGATAAAAATGTACTTCTTACCATTTTGCAAACCTACCAAACAGTAACTGGTCAGGAAGTTAACCTTGCTAAATCTTCCATTTTCTTTAGTAAAAACACTCCCACACACATTCAAAACCACATCTGCTATATTTTGCTGGACATTTCCCCCAAATCTCATTCAAAATATCTGGGTCTTCCACTTGGAATAGGAATTTCAAAGAAAGCCACTTTCTCATATGTGGAAGAAGCTAT